CCCCCGCGCCCACACACTTGCTGCCAGCGCGGGGACTGGCGGCTCGGGAGGAAAGTGCGTTGCGGCGCGCGTTCCGGCCGGAAGTCCCGCCCCGAGGAAGGGCGGGAAGCCAGTCGGGCGGCGTGGTAGACGGGCGGCGTGGTAGACGGGCGGAGAGGGAGCAAGAGTGGGCTCCGGCGCACGTTGGCTTGAGGGTAAAGGTCACGGCCTCCGCCGCTCCCGCGCGTTCTGGCCCTGCTTTGTCACTGTCCTGAAACCCCATGCGTAGCTTCCAGTGGAAGGCGAGTTGGGGCGGGCTTGCCCAAGTCCGCCCTCACAGTGGCTGGGATGCCCAACCGCCCCGCTGGTCTCTGCTTAACTGGCTCACGTGAGGGGATGGGTTGAACCGGAGGGACGGGGCCCTTCTGAGCAGGCACCAGACCCCGGCTGCAGTCCTCACAGCCCCTAGTGGGAAGTGACAATTGTTGCGTACCATTTAGTCAGGCGTCGGGGGCTTGGCAGTTTTCCCCCCCAATTGCTTGTCCAAACCCCCGGGCGCCTCCCCAGGTGATTCTGAGGTACGGAAGGGGTGGGATCCAGTCGTGAGATTGTTGCTCAAATGGTGGGTGGAACCACGTGTTCCGGCAGCACCTAAGTGGGGAGGGGCTAAGTGGGCTGATTGCTCGGGGCCACCGCTGCTGGTGAGTCCCCGGGGTGGAGCCGCACAGCCGCGAGCCTTTGACCAGCGCCCTGGCCCCTCGCAGGACGTGAGAACCCTGGTGGGAGAAGAGCCTGAAGGGACCACCTATGCTTTTCCAAACAAGTTCTTCCAGCTCTTTAGGTGAGCGGGGCTGTGTTATTATTGAGCCGAAATTGAGGAAGCAAACCTTCCCTCCTTGGAAAGATTATGTACCTGTTACCTCTGGATCTGGGATGAAGCGATGAAAATTTATCCTCCCGTTTACTGAGTCTGGGAGTGGTAATATTGTAAAGCGAACTGACTCCTGGTACCTTCAGCGTGTTTCCTAGGGACCCGTGTGATTTATGTCTCAATCCGTTAAACAATTGTAACAGAATATTATGTGTTGCATATTTGCTCTTTGTCCCTTGCCTGTCCTTTAGAGGATATTTTCCACTGACTCCAGCAGGGTATCCACTGTCATCAACTTAGTGGTGGCAATAAGTGGTGGGACTTTCGGCCCTGTCAGCCTCATACAGAAAGATGTCATTTATCTTTTCGATATTTTGGGGTAATATTTATATTTCAAAAAGCTTTTGATGTTGACACTTTCTAGGTCAGGTAAAAAAAAAATGTTCAGCTAGTTTTGTTACTGAAATTTGATTTTGAGTCAACAGTAACTGAGAAAGTAGATTGAGTGAAACTTGTAAGTGGGATAGATATAATTTAATAATTATCAATCTCTGAAAAGTTACAACTTGTCCTATGCTGTGGATGTTTTTAAGCACTTACCTAGTAAATAGATGACTTGTATTACTACTACTGGGTACTTGGCAGACTATTTTATTTTACTGTGCAAAGTAAACATTTATTAGAAAAGAGTATAAAGAAGAAAGGGGAAAAGAAGGTAATGTGTTGTCAGTCGCAATTTCAAGACATTTAGATTTAAGTTATATGTTATTTCTCTTTAAAAATAAAACTATATTAAAAGCAGAACAGATTGGCTAACTAAAATTATGGAAATAAAATTTTAAAAAGAAAAGAAAAATAAAATTAAGGAAATAGTCCTTAAGCTCACCCACAAAGCATAAACATCGGCAGATGATACAATTTTCTACTTTTTAAACAGTTTATTTATTTATTCATTTTTTAAAAAGACCGGTAAGGGGATCTTAACCCTTGACTTGGTGTCGTCAGCGCCACGCTCTCCCAAGTGAGCGAACCGGCCATCCATATATAGGGATCCGAACCCGTGGCGTTGATGTTATCAGCACCGCACTCTCCCAAGAGAGCCATGGGCCGGCCCTTAAACAGTTTATTTATTTATTCATTTTTTAAAAAGACCGGTAAGGGGATCTTAACCCTTGACTTGGTGTCGTCAGCGCCACGCTCTCCCAAGTGAGCGAACCGGCCATCCATATATAGGGATCCGAACCCGTGGCCTTGATGTTATCAGCACCGCACTCTCCCAAGAGAGCCATGGGCCGGCCCTTAAACAGTTTATTTATTTATTTTTTATCTAGTCTTCTTTTTCCAAATCTTAACCCATTTGCTCAAAGGTAATATGTATTTATATACAGGAAACAGTGTTTGCATTATAGAGGATAAGAGTGTAGGCCCTGGCCTCAGATTTTCTTGGTTCCCATTCCAATTCTGGCACTTACTAGCTGCTTGAACTTGGGCAAAATACTTACCCTCCCCTCATCTATCTTCATCTGTATTGCTTCCTCCTAAGGTTATTGTGAAGACTAAAAAGACATTTATAAGGTGTAAAGAACAGAGCCTGGCTTACAATAGGTATTTACTGCATGTTAGAAATTATTATTATAAGATTGTGAAATATAAAAGAATAATGGAATAAAACACCTGTAGTACCACCAGCAAAAGACGAGTATTAATATGCTGCTATCTTTCCATCCAGTCTTACTTTATGTTGGCCTCTATCTAATTGGATCATACCATAGGTAAAATTTTAAGTCTTGCTCTTTTTGGTTAACTTTATAACATAAGCATTTTTCCTTGCTATTAAATATTCCCAGTAACTGTCAATATTCTTGTAATATCCTATCCTGTGAATGTACAATGATGTACCTAATCATTTCTTTTTTAGTGCAAAAGTTAGGTTAAAAAATGGCAAAACTAATAATGTGTTTGTATATTACTTTATAATATATTCTCATACTTGTTATTTAAAAAAAATTTTTTTTTGCTTAGGAATTTTATTTTCATTTTGAGAGTGAGAATGAAAAATAAAAAAGACAATTGGGTGTCTCCTTTTAATAACATAGTGTTGGAGTAAATAAGAATTTTAGAATTCTGTGAATCTTGACTTGTTGCTCCGATAAGTTAATTGGACTCTGATACATTTTTCAAAATATTCAGTTTAGCATTTTAAAGTAGGGCATGTGAGAGGCCATATCAAGGTTGCGAATAATTTTTAAAATTCTTCTAACAAATATGTAAAGATTTAAGGTTAATGGTAGAATAAACATGTCAAAATAACAATGCTTTGTTAGAAAATTTTTAAATATTAAGCTTATAAAGAGAAATGCAGATCTAAAGAGTGCATGTGTGTGTGTGTGTGTGTGTGTGTGTGTGTGTGTCTGTCTGTCTGTCTGTGTTTTAAACCTCTGATTCATGGAGGGGTGTCCAATCTGAATCTATGGGCTGAAGATTTACAGGAAAGAAAATTACGAAGTAGGACCAGAGGAGGATCAAACAATAATTTGTTTGTTTAAAATTTGTTGAATGCCTTTAGTGCTTAAAAGTCCTAGATGCGTTTTTGTATGTTTTCAAATGTAATTTTTGTAAAATCTCTATGAAGTAGAAATATCGTTCCTATTTTATGGATGAGAAACTGAGTCTCAGGGAATTTAAACAACCTGCCCAATATTGTACATCTAATAAATTGCAGTTTCAACCCCTGGTCTTCTGGTTTCAGGAAAACCGTTCTTTTCCTACCCCTTTGCATTTATATTTCTGGCATTCTCAAAGATTGATTTAAATTGAGAAAATACGTTTACCTTATAGATGAAATATAAGGAAAAAGAATACAGACAACCATGGAAAGTGAGGACACAGACAAAATGCAAGGTGAGAAGTTCATGGATCATATATCTGGAATCAGTTTTATAATATATTTGTGGGATATACTGCAGATTATCTGATAGTATCCAAGAAATTAAATGAGTCATTCAGGAATTTACATACATATTGGGTACCTACTCTGTGTCTGTCACATAATTTCTGGCTTCAGGAAACTGACATTCTAATGGGAAACGACATGCTGATAATTACAATACCATATGATAGTTGATTTAATGGCAGTATTCACAAAAACAGTGGGAACCTGAGAGGGCCACTGTTAAAAGTATGCCTGGAGGTACAGATTTCAGAATTACCCCCAGAAACTTGATCCCTAGACATTTAATCTATAGGCATGTAGGAGGTTAACCAGAAAGGAAATAGTAAAAGTAAAAAGAATGGGGAATAGTCCCTAATGCATACCATCACATAAAAGCTTAGCTGAGAATGATGGCCTTCAAAAAAAAAAAAAAAATTCAGAAAGGTGCGAGGAGAATCAGGAATGTGGTATCTTGGAAATGAGAGCCTTAAGAGAATGTTTCATGAGAAAGATTTGCTTAAGAGCATCAGTGTCAGGTGTCACAGATGACTCAGTTATCCTCTGGATTTGCATTTAGGATGTCATTTTTTTTTATTAATGGTAAACTTAATAGATTTCAGGCAGATTGCAGTATATTTAGGTCCATGTGGGAAATTAAGATCTGAAGATGCTATGAATAGCTTACTCTTTTTAAAAGTTTGACTAAAGATATATGGCAGTAGATGGAGGGAGGTTGTAATGTCAAGGGAGTCTTGTAAGGATTATAGAGACGAGAATATATGAAGACAGAAAGGAGATTCCGGACAGGGCGAAGTTGAAGACATTGGGGAGAGACGGGATAATTGTTGGTGATGCCCCTCTCAGACCATTTATCACACTCCATTTGTCAAACCTCTAACCCCAGTCCCACATCTCTCTCTTGCATTTTATGTCTTTTTTTGCTGTTGTTAAATTTATTTTTTATTAGCATATTCATTGTTACAAATCATACTTATTCTTTATGCCTCTTAGCCAATCCCCCTCCCCCTCCCACCTTTCCCCTCCCCACTCTAATAACCATGGATTTGTTCTCTCCATCTGATAGATTAACTGTTCCTCTGTTGGTTTGTTGTCTAGATGATCTGTCCTGTACTGATACAGGTGTGATCAAGTCCTCCCCTATTATCATAAATCAGATACTTCTTCTATTACTCTAGAGTGTGGTTTGTGGAGAGAGAGGACCTCTTCTTTTTTTCTTTTTTTGGTCTCCACTGGTGCCTCTCCTTGTGTCAATGCAGTTGAGAGTCTGGCATTCCATCTGAACAGTGGCTGTGACTGCTGCTATAGAGACCAGCCGCTTTTGCAGCAGCTATGTTAATTGCGGTGGCTATGGTGGGCTACCCATGTGGAAATGGTGTTTTTGGTGTGCTCTTTACCTGGATGTGGCTAAGATTGACCTCCCCTAGCTCCATACCCCAGGACCCTGGTAGGGCCCCAGGGCATTGGTGGCAGCTTGCCTAGTTGTGACTGGGATTGGCTTCCCCCAGCTCCATGCCTCATTCTAAGATGTTGTTGTGGAGAAGTTGGTAGGGAGGGGAAGGAAAATAGGGTAGGAAGAGGAGGAAGGAGAGTGGGTGTGATCAAGGCCTGTGGCACCCCCCTCATTCTGGCAGGGGAGACCAGGGGGCTTCCAGTGGCAGCTTGGTCATTGCTGGGCTGGTTGCAGATGTCAGGGGGGTGTGACAAGCCTTGGCTCCCCACCGCCCTGGCTCGGGAGCCCAGGGCACTTCCTACTATGGCTCTGTGGTCATCACTGGGCTGGTTGCAGATGTTGGGGGATGTGGCTGGGGCCCTCAGCACCCCACCACCCTGGCTCAAGAGTCTGGGGTGTTTACTGTGGTAGCTTGGTGGTTGTCGCTGGGATGGTTGTGGATGTCAGGGAGTGGCTGAGGCTGTAGGCCCCCCACTGCCCTGGCCTGGGAGCCCAGGGTGCTTCCTGCAGCTGCTTGGTGGTTGTCACTGGGCTGGTTGTGGATGTTGGGGGTGTGTGGCTGGGGCCCTTGGCACCCTATTGCCCTGGCTCAAGAGTCTGGGGTGCTTCTTCTGGCTGCTCGGTGGTTGTCACTGGGCTAGTTGTGGATGTTGGGGGTGTGTGGCTGAGGCCATTGGCCCCCCACTGTCCTGGCTTGGGAACCCAGGGTGCTTCTGGTCCTTCTAGCTTTCATAGGTGTTCTTTGGTGGTGTTAGACTAGTTAATATCAAACTTTGTCTGTGATCTATGGGTGTTTTGTTTTTTCTTTCAGTTCTGTGTTGGATTATTTGTTGTTCCCACCACTTAAATTCTGCACTGAAACTAATTTGTTGCCCTTTGCTTACTTCTAAAATGGAGGAACTTCCTGTGGGGAACAGCACTTGAGCCCTGTGGTTGAGCTAAATTGCTGCTTTGCTGCTGATTCCCTTGGGAAAGGCTTTTTGTGCAGCTCAGGTTTTAATTGTTGACCTTGTATATACTTCCGGGTGTTGTGAGTTCTTGTACACCTGGGTTGTGTGGAAACTCTGGTCTGGGCCTGAGTCTTTTCAGCAAACTGCACCCCCTGCAGTTCTATATTTCTGACCAGTCTCCATTGAGTGGTCCTGTGCTGATTGGAGGGCAGATCTGCTGTCCATGCTGTGCCCCAGCATTCCCCTGGCGGGCCTGTCTCCCCCACTGCCTGCACTCCAAACACTTCCCGTGGGATGGACTGGCGGTGACTCACCGGCCTCTGAGTGGCTCCTTTTTTCTGTTGTCTGTGGCTCCTTGCTCTTACGTGGGTCCATGGGAACCCTGTTAGTAGTCTTGCTGGCCTGGGGGCCACCAAGGCCCTCTTCTCCCCTGCCACCTCCGAGCAACTTCATACGAAGGCACAGCAACAGCTTTTGCCAGCTCTTGCTCCATGTGCTCACCAGTTCCAGACTTGAAGCAACCAGGGCTTGAAATGGTGGGAGTGAGCCTTTCTTTCTCTCATCGTGGCTTCTCCTTTCTTCATGAACTTCATAGGTCTCTCCTCTTCCCCTGAGCTCTAGTGGCCCCGGCTTGGCTGTCGTTGCTTTTTAATAGTTGTAAATTAGTTGATTTGTGGGAGAGAGTGACGCTGGGGACCATCTATTCTGCCATCTTGACTGGAAGCCCCATTTTATGTCTTAATTTGGGTTCCCCCCAGAAGTAGACCCTGAGACAAGGATTTGAACCCAAGTAGCTTTTTGAAAAAGTGATCCTAGTAAATACTGTCTGGGAGGTGGAGAAGGGAGATAGAAAAGGGAAGGCAGGCAGAAGAATACCAATTGGAGAGAACTGACATCTTCACAATATTTAGTCTTCCAACCCATGAACAAAGTATGTTATGCCATTTATTTCAGTCTTTAATTTCTCTCAGCAGTATTTTTAAGTTTCAATGTATGTGTTGTTTACAGCTTTTGTCAGATTTCTCTTGAAGAACTTCATATTTTTGATGCTATTGTAAATGGCATTGGCTTTTTAAAATTTCAACTTCTATTTGCTTGTTGTTGGTATATACAAGTAAAATCAATTTTTGTAAATTAGATGGATATCCTGAAAACTTACTACTTCACTTACTAGTTGTAGTAGCTTTTTTGTAGAGTCCATCAGATTATCTACATAGATGATCATGTAGTTTGTGAATTCAGATAATTTTATTGCTTCCTTTCCAATGTGGATGCCTTTTATTTCTTTTTTCTTACTTGATGGCAATGGCTAGACTCCCCAGTACAATGTTAAATAGGAGTGGAGAGCAAACATCTCAGTCTTGTTCCTGATCTAAGAGGGAAAGTATTGTCTTTCCCTGTTATGATGTTTGCTGTAGGGTTTTTTGTTTGTTATTCGTAGATGTACTTTGTCAGACTGAAGAATTTCCCTTCTATTTCAAGTTTTTTAGAATCAGAAATGGATGTTAGATTTTATCAAATGCTGTTTCTACTAATATTGAGATGACCAAAAGGCTTTCCTTTTGAATTTTAGTTTGTTACATTACATTAATAGATTTTTTAAAAATCTTAAATCAACCCTGCATTCCTGAGATAAACCCACTTGATCATGATGTATTGTTTTTTTAATATATTGTTGGATTCAATTTGCAAAAATTACTTAGACTTTTTGCAGGTATATTTCTGAGGGATATTGTCTGTAGTGTTCTTTTCTTTCTAATGGCTTTGGTATAAAGGTATGTCAGTCTTATCAAATAAGTTGGGAAGTATTCCTTCTCTTAAAGTTTTGGAAAAGTTTGTGTAGAATTTATATTCTTTCTTTTTTTTTTTTTTTGTCCTTTTTGAGACCAGCCGCACCGCGCTCAGCCAGTGAGCTCTGTGAGCGCACCGGTCATCCCTATATAGGATGAACCTGCGGCGGAAGCGCTGCTGCGCTCTCAGCGCCTCACTCTCCCGAGTGCGCCACGGGTTCGGCCCTATATTATTTCTTAATTAAACATTTGGTAGAATTTATAAAAGAAAACATCTGAATCTGCAGTTTTCTTGAGTATTCTTTGTGGAAAGATTTTTAACTTCTTTCAGTGATTTCAACTTCTTTCATAAATGTAGGACTATTCAGATTATGTGTTTCTTCCTGGGTGAGTTTTGGTGATGTGTGTCTTTCAAGCAGCTTGTCCATTTCACCTGAGTCATTGGCTCTATGTAATACTCCCTTATTATCTTTTGAATATCTGTCAAATCTGTGTTGATGCCATCTCTCTCCTGATATTGGTAATTTGTGTATTTACTGCTCTTTTTCTAATCAGCCTGGCTAGAGGTGTATCAGTTTATTGATCTTCTCAAATAACCTGCTCTATTGTTTTTCTGTTTTCTATTTTACTGAGTTCAACTTTGATCTTTATAATTTCCTTTCTTCCGCTTACTTTGGGTTTAATTTGCACTTCTTCTAGTTTCTTAAGGTGGAAGCTGAAGTAATTGATTTGAGACCTTTCTTTTTTTCTAATATAATCATTTAATCATAAATTCCTCCTAAATCCTGCTTTAGAAACTTCCCACAAATTCTGGTATGTTATATTTTAATTTTCATTCAGATCATTTCTAAATGGCAGATATTTAAAACAATATAGCTTTACTTAAAGAGAACAATACTTGGGGTTTCTATTCCTATATTTCATGCGAGGGGAATATCAAAGAACTGTAAGAAGTTCATTTTAAGTTCTTTTATTTAAAGAAGATCTTTCTTTGTATACATCTTTATTGTTTGTTAGATTACAAAAGTAATACATGCTTATTAGTTTCAAAGCCAACCATTCCAAAGATATGTAATTAGAAAGTGAAATTTTAATGCTTAGTTTTTGAAAGAAAATTTTTAGTTTAAAATAATGAAATTTTTGTTCTTTAGAAATGAAGACTGACCTAAACTTATTATTGGAGTGTCTAAAGTATCAAATGGACAACCCTTTTTCACAAAAGGAAGCTTTGGTCACAATTCATTCAATTTGTCAACAAAACAGTAAGACATGATAGTGAATTTTTATCTGTGATTCTAGTTCTTTAGTACTGTGATGTGTCAAATATGCATAGTTTTTTCTCTTCCACTTAGTTACTCTACATGTTATGTTACTTTCCTCATGTGACTTATTTTATTCTTAAAAGAGTAATCAGGATAAATATCATTTCTATTTTGTTTTGTCTGCACACCTTACAGGTAACGCTGGTATTTATTTTCGGGAAATTGGTGGTTTGATGTTTGTAAAAAATCTTGCAAAGTCAAGTGAACATAGCATGGTAAAAGAAGCAGCCTTGTATACATTAGGAACTGTTGCAGAAAAAAATGGTAAAATATAAAACTTTATTTCATTATCCTTCAAACATTGTATTATACTTTAACAAACTACTCAAAATAATTTAAAATTAAATTCCTTTTTTACATGTTTGTATAGTTTTGTACAGGTACTTTAATCAAAAGATAAAGATAACCCATAGCTATCTTGTATGTGGGTAAATATGCTTTGGGTATAGAAATTCATGTTGGCAAGAACATTTTTCTACAGTATACCTGAAGTGAGTTTGAATTTAAGCCATTAGTTTGTCAAACCAACTTTATATTCTCATATTTTCATTAATTAAATATTTCTTCATCACCTGTTAAGAACCAAACTCTGTGCTAGGCATTGGGGATACAGGGATAAATAGGATATAATCCTTGGCTTTGAGATGGGGTCTAATAACTGTTATAGGCACTGGTTAAAATGCTGATTTTATCCACTGTTTAAGCCAGTTTTTTTTTTTTTTTTGTCTTTTTGTCTTTTTTCCTGGCCTGGCAACGGATCGCAACCCTCAGTGTTGCGCCCGTACCGGACCGGGACCGGCAACGGGATCGCAACCCTCGGTGCTGCCCCTGCTCCTCGCTCAGCCAGTGAGCGCCGGTCTGTATGTGGGATCCGAACCCTCGGCGGG